TGTTTTGCTTCCGAATGTATATTTACATAAATAAATATAAATATAAGTATAAATATACATATAAATATATATATATATATATACACATGTATTCATTCGGTTCCTTTATAAGACTACTGGTTGCTGCGGCAATGCCGGATTGGGGCGTGAAGGGTTTTGGGTTAGGTTCGCGGAGTTTGCCGTGGAATAGCGCTCCATTAAGCAACAGTATCTTGCGAGAAGGTCCAGCCGAGTGAGCCTAATGTAGGGGCCTCAGTAACTCGAACAGAGTTGGGGTATACTATACAATAATGATAAGAAGGAGCCCCAAAAACCATATTCTAATTAAGGCTCCTTCTATTCAGCTTTGAGTGAGACCCACTCCTCCGCCGAGCGGCTGGTCGAAGGCAGCAGATCAGAAACCTCCGCTGAGACCCGCGGCTCCGTGACCATTCGCCTTCGGGCCGAACTTTCACGACCCGGTTGCAAGCTTCGGATGTCAATCGTGCCTACGAGTCTTGAGCACAGTGAATTCCAATCACAGTACAAGAAGCGCCTGGTTGACAAATATGCGAGCTACGTCAGCCGATATCATGAGAAACATCGAACAACAAAATCTGGGGCTACGTTTCTAGGTTCGTACATTTCAATGATTCCAGATTCAGCGTAGCCAATCGGGTAGTGATAGCAGGTCGATGATGTGCAGATACTGATGTAGGTGTACATATTTGCATTGCGGCATGTCCGCGTATGAACTACTCCATAAGCTCTGTGATGCTGTCAACATGCTGAATATCATAGCTATTTGATGGAAACTGGTACAACCGACAAAGAACCGCCTTGAGAATGACACTTTTTTGCTCGTATACATCCCGCTCGTTCTCTACTATCCGATCGATTGCAGCCGCGTCGCTGAGCCACGGGCTCCGAGAGCCTGAACACACGTTGGGTTAACTTGATTCACGTCCCTAGCTGCTCGCTCTGACAAAATCGAGGTCAGAATTGTGCTTGGGCAAAGTTCGGGCTGTCCATGAAGACTAGAGCATCAAGCCATCAGGCTCCGGCAAACCTAAATCACCCCCACATGCACTCGAGTTCACTCGAACAACGAGGCCTACACAAGCAGCTGACACAGCGCGGATCTTGCCGGTACGCAGCCTGTCGTAAACGCTTTCGCGTGACCCTGAACTGTCAAACCCATGAACCTAAGCCCTGAAAAGCCTGAACTATGGAGGCCTTCATGGTTGCAATGAGGTTTTGGGTGCATCAAATTGTACACTATTTTCAAGGACGAGGGCACTGATGGAGAGTGTTCCCAACTAGTGAGATCTAGGGGTACCTTATTTTGGGGTCCTCATAATCAGGATCCTACTATTTGGGGTACTTTCTTAGGGTCCCCTGTTTTCGGAAACTCCCGTATGAAAACTCCTGAAGGGCCGGCCTTGGCACTGACCGGTCTGTGCCGCAGATCCCGGGCGTGGACTTGGAGCGACAGGGGATGGGTCACCGAATGCGAAGGTCTCTCTTGGGCAGTTTACTGGGTTACTGTCAAGGGATCTAGTTTAAGTGAGCACAATAAACAAACCAGCTTATTTACTGTAGGTCACTATTTTGGTAACATAAACTCCTTGACAAGAACCCAGCTTAGGGTTCTTGGATTTCGGGTTGAGCCTTCGGGCTTACTTGCTTGCGCCTTGTTTTGTTTAGAAGCATTTTGGGAGACAGAGTACTGCATAGCCAGGTTTGCGACACCGTTTGCGACCCGGTACATGTGTAGCAAAATAACAGAACAACACTAAACTCAGATAGCTCGGGTTCCGATGCTGCACTGACAAAACATACTTCAAGCACAAGCTGGCTCTTCTTGTGATCAAAATTGCCCGAGGTCCAGTCCCTTACTTCACTTCAGCATCAGATCAAGAAAGCCAGGGGCGGAAGAGCGCATGACACCAATTTGAGGAAGAGGCTGTGAACAGTAGAGGCGAGAAAAGGCTGCGCGGTCCATACCCGTTACGAAATGGCCACTTAAGGTGTGATGTAAGCAAGCTCAAATTCACCTGCTTCGTCCTGTCCGAAAGTGTCATATCGGTGAAGCATGCTTCTTTACATACTTTGAGTCCCTTTCGGGCTCGGCCAATCCCAGACAAGGCAAGCTGCCGTCGATGCCGGGAACATCGGTGCTGCTTGGGGTGCTGCATAGGTCGGTGCCATCGACTGTGCTCCTCACCAGCGAACTGGTCCACGCTATAAGTAGTACATACATACACACGCATATATACATAAATGAACCTAAATATACAAATACAAAACTAATAAATACCTCTATATATATATATATATATACGCATATACACATACGTGCATACATCGATACATATACATATGTATATCTGTACATACATATTCGCTTTTTCGTATACTCGTAAAGACAGTTATATATATATATGTACATACATATGTGAACATAGATCAGGCGGTTGCACGCAAACTAAGTTCCGAAACGCAGTCAGCTAGTTGAGCTCACGGAGCGATGCGACATGAACTCTCAAGCATCGCAACGGCCGCGAAGAACAAAAGCAACAAGAAAAGGGACATGCAGCTCTCGGTCTCTTCTGGTGTGAAAGACAGAGAATAGGGACACCGCTTCCATAATCAACCCTTCTATAACCCAAAACCCTGAACTCCTTTCACCCTTACACTCAACAGGTTTGATCACATCATATTCCAGCTTCGAGCGGCCTCCAACAGCAGTTTGGGTTCGACAAACAAGAAAGTGAACATCTGAAGTTCGAACACCCCTGCTAACAACCGAAGCGTGAAAGCTACGTGCTTCAAGCCTTGAAAGTTCGCCTCGAACGAGTAAAATGGAGCTGGCGACATCCAAGCCTGTTAACTAGTATACCGAAACGACCTGTCTGTCTGTAGAGTCCAAGAGATCTTGCATTGGGGTCAACAATGAATGAGACCCTAGCCAAAAAACAGGTTCTGGTAGTGTCAAGTAGACTACCACCCGCCCTAGCACAATTCCCCGGCACACCGGTTCCTAATTGCTCCGGTCCACCTTACAGGATTTAAGGTCCTTGTGATTACATAAGCTCAGCAAAAACCGAAACTCGTCCAAACTCCACGCAGCCACAAAGCGAAATAAACAAAACTCAAGCTGCTGAACCCAACAGCCCGCCCAAACACCTAAACCACACCAAGCCAAAAGAACTCACACACACACAAAAGACTGTAAAATATTTTTAGTAGCAGTATTGTATATTAGTACTGTAGTTTCATGTTATATGTTATGTAGTATAGTAAAGCATATAGCATATCATATATATATATATATACATACAATAGTAATCTGCTAAACAGTAACAAGCATTCCACTCCGAAGATTTCCCGGCCTCGCCAAGCTTCTCCCACCGTGTGCATCCTCTGGTGAGGGTAGATGTGGGGTTTAAAGGTCTAGGGGTTTAGGGGTTTAGGGTTTAGGGGTGTAGGGGTTCGGGGGTCTGGGGGTCTACGGGTTTAGGGTTCGGGGGTTTAGGGTTTAACAGTTCAAACCACATGATAAGGGTGGTAATATAGAACGATAGAACTTTCGGGGGGTCCAGCGGACCTCCCTTAAGCTGGCACACTACATCCTAATCCCCAAATTACTAAACCCTGCATCCTATAAATCCTAAATTACCAAACCCTCAATCCTAGACTCTGCATCCTATAAATCCTAAGTTGCCAAACCCTCAATCCTAAACCCTGAATCCCAAACCCTAAGACCATCTGTCAAGGCTTAGGGCTCTCTGGGCTTAGGGCGTTGGCAGACTTGGATCTCGTGGGAAAATCCCGAAGCCGGGCTGACTCGCTGGAACATGATACTGAGACGTAAAGGCTGAATTGGGGTCCAAAGAAGCACCGTAAAGACGCAAGTTATTGACAGAATCCTACCCGGGGGGGGGGGGGGGGTATCCAGGCATCTTTTTCGGGTTTAAATGCATCCGAATCCACAAACCGGAGCACCCCTCCCGGCCTGAAAACGGTTGGCGGCGACAGCTGTTGCTGTTGCGGCGCGACTGCCACAGTCAGGCCTCTGCAGCAGCAATCTCCAAGATCCACGGCCCAAAAACCTCCAACTTCGTGCCCGGACAAAGACGACAGCGGCACCTTGTAAGATGATCGTACACATGCTTACTCCTAGTCTGACCTTGAAGCTTTGAAGCGAATTCAACCTCATCCCAAACTCAAAGGCCTTAAACCTATACGGTTTACGGTATAGGGTTTAGGGTTTAGACCCTAAACCCTAAACCCTATGCTGCCGGCTGCAATCTGGATCAACGTCCGAATAATTCCACCCTTAGCTAGAAGAGATCAAGACGTCCCGAGCTCGCACGGCTGCAAATGCCAAAACTGACAAGACCACTACATCGAATCAGCTGGCTGTTCCCATCGTAGCTCCTGTTCCTTGTTTTGACACAAGTTACGCTCAAGATGCTAGAAGGCAACCCAAAAGACGTTGAAGAAAGACTTCCGGGGGAGCCAGAGTTTGTAGAAACACCCATGTAAACACGCAATTCACGCGATCGTAAAGCTTGTCTACGGGTCTTTGTCTGTATCATCGATATATATATATATATACACACACACAGAGATCCGTAATTCAACCATATCTGCTGCGATTGAATACACCTGCATGTGTGTGCGTGTGTATGTACATGTATATACACATGTATATACTTGTAGGGCGATGTAGACAGAGGATAGAAGGATGGCAGCAGCGAGCCAGGTTCGTCCAAGTCTCACCGTGCCCGGAGCGTTCTCAACTAACTTTCGAGACTTGCATGACTTCAGGCCCAGAGCTCTGGGCAAACAGCTCGCTCTCTCTCTCTCTCTCTCTCTCTCTCTCTCTCGCTCTCTCGCTCTCTCGCTCTCTCTCTCTCTCTCTCTCTCTGTCTCTCTCTCTCTCTCTCTCTCTCTCTCTCTCTCTCACATCAAAATGTGGACAATAGCTAGTCCCTGCGGCAAAATTTGAATATCTACATATTCAAATATTCACAGGCGAGAAGCTGTTGCCCTGACTCGTGGGTACCGGGATCGTCGCGCTCGCTGGGCGCGTCAGAACATACCTCGGCCACACGGAACCCAAAGAGTCTCCTTTCTAGTTCGTTTTGTTTGGCTTAACCAAGTCTATATTGATGACCCTACAATAGGAACTACAATGGGGACTTTAGTGTAGCTTCAAGGTGCAGCCAGCCATTCCTTAGGTTTCCGAGCATACATGTAGTCACACTACACACTATAGTGTACCATACCCAAAGAAAACAAACTCATTCAAGCTGTTCAGGCCCCAAGTTAGATGTGCGCATAGCTCTTTCCGAGTTTGCGGCACCTGCCTCGGTGCGATTGAGTTTCGGTACTGAGACATTCTCAAAGTCTTGCTTGAACCGTGCCTGATGTCTTGCTTGGAGCATGAGGGGGCTTAGCAAGCAATTACGAATACCTTAACCGGGCTGAGAAGTGTACAAGTAAGGTGATGAGTACCTCAACTGGGCCGAGAAGTGTACACATTATTATGTTCTGATTCTGGTTACCTAGTGTACAACCCTAGTTACTGGGTCCCATGGCCCTTTAAGAAGGGTTTTGGGATGCGCAGGGCGCAGTCTCCTCTTGTGGAGGCATGTACCAACACTCCCCCAGGGCCCAACCCTCCTGAATGATTCGTGATTGGTCAAGGCGCCTGAGTTTAATAAACCTTCAAAAGGTTCAACAACGGAGATACCGGCTCGGGCAAGCCGCCAGAACCCTTGAACAAGCCCGGCACACAAGTCTCAAGGCCCGTAAGTCATTGCCGGGTGGCGGAGTGAAAAACCGAGTAACTTGAGAAGTAGGCACCTGAATTGCGCTGGAGATCTCTGCAAGTTTGCAAAATGCGCGCAACGGTCAGAATCCCCAAAGCCCGCATCCTAAACCTTGCATGAACTCTAAACCCTGTACCTCAAGAAGATCAAGTTTTCGCGGCTCCGGGTTTGCAACTCGGCTTTCCGGCTATTCGGAACTTGCTTTACAGCTCTGAAAAGTCAGTGCGTCGTGAGGAGACGACCGGTTTGGATGCTCTGCAGGGCCCTCCACTTAAAGGCTCATGGGACTTAGTAAACTATGGTTATACATAGGGTAACTATACTTATGATTGGATATAACCCCAGTTAGGGTACTTATAACTGTACTTACTAAGTCCCATGAACCCCCTTCTACAACCTTTACAGATCCCTTTAAGGAAGCCCATTATAGAACCCTATAGTACCCTTAAAAGGAGCCCTAAACCCTACTTACTAAGTCCCGTGAAACCCCAAGCATGCAGGATTAGTGAAGGCGGGAGTGGAGAGTGGATGGTCCGTGATACCGAAGTGTCACTGCGGGAGCCTTCTTGAAATGGCTCTCGGAATCCAGCCAACCGAAAAGAAAGAGTTCATCAGTCTGAAGCTACATCACGAACTTTCTCAAAGCACCCTTAAACAAACCTCAAGAAAGGATCCCCTCAAGAACCCAACAAAAATCCAGTGCCCAAGCCCGGGCTTTTAGAGGCTCCAATATCCCTTAGTTATGGAATACACCTCTTGTCATACTGGGATCCCTCGTCCCTAATATGGTTTATAAGGTATATACTCCGTAATTGAGGGATCTTGGAGTCTGCGGGTTTAGGCACCTGCAGGGATTTCCCACATGGGCAGGGCAGAGTCGCAAAGTTCGTGTTTGGGGGCTGCGCCGCCTCAGATGGATGTCGACGCAGCGAGCAGGAGCTGGGCCATGGAACTAACTTGGGGAACTTCTTTAGCCCTACCTGGAGATCCCCAAACCTACTGATTTAAGAGCTATACCCTCTAATTCAGGGTCATAACCTTGAGGCGGTTTAGGGATACAGGTAGACGCTGGTAAAACTTACAACTGCGCAGCCCTCAACCCTACAGTGTGGGATGAGTTAGGCTCCGACTCTGCGCATGATGCTTCATGCTTCGATATAAACGGACTGAAAAACACTTGAGTTAGGCTCCTGACAGACTCTAAGGCATGGGGTATGATAGTCCCTTATAGTAGTCCTCATAACCCATTATTCCCCAATTCCCTACTAAGAGCCAGGGAGAAGAAGATAGACCCTAAACCTGAAAAAAAACCCTAAACCCCCCTAAAGCCTAAACCGGCAGCTCCGAAGTGATGGGAGGGTTCTTCAGTCGTACGCCACCAGGGGCGAAACGGCTCCAGAGTCCAGCCCTGGGCCTTTAGAAAAGGGAAGGATGGGGGGGCCATGGCCTTAAATGTTAGAATTGGGGTTTTGGGAGAATGCTTTACAAGAACCATAATTCATAAGGAGCATGGGTACATGTTTCCTATCTTTCGGGTTCGGGGTGTCAGGGTCTCATGGTATAGGGCTTCCGTTACCCGGATTCGTTTAGGGTTTGAGGCTTTAGGGTTTCGGTCTAGGGTTTAGGCGTTAATGGGAGGTTGCTGGGTTGCATCGTTAGCTAAGCTTTAAGCATTTGGACACAGCGACATGTGCTTGCCTCTTGGCTTCCACTCACATCGAAGGCTGTGGCGAGCCTACTAGCGTGGTGGTGGTGGGGGGGGGGGGGTAATTAGTAACAGTATGTCCTTATAGTCCTATATACTAATAGCATAATATAGTCCATAGAGAATTTCCTAATCATTAAGGCCCCTGTATGAACAATCGCTTTCCAAGTCTTCCTGGGCGTGTCATTTAAGACCCTTGCAGCTGCCCACTGCAATCCATGAGCTGTCTTGGCATTTCTGAACATCATTAAGCAATAACCAACATATGGACAGTTATATATATATATACACAGTACACAACATACGGTCCATATATATATATATATATATACATATATATATATATATATATATATGTTTATAGAGAGAGAGAGAGAGAGAGAGAGAGAGAGAGAGAGAGAGAGAGAGAGAGAGTATGTCATATACGATATACATGCTGCCGAGTTGCCCCAGCAATCGGCTCCATTATCCTTTGCTGTGCTCAGATTCCCTAGCACTACAGTAGACTACCGGCACTACAGGACGGGGAGCACGAGAGCAAACGGAAATCGGGTCACGACAAGACATCTTGTATTACGGACCGCGCTGCGTTGGCGACAGTCACCTCTCAACGGACTATGATGCGTATGACGATGATAGTGATTGTAGTGATCAATATGATCATGGACATTGTGATGGCAGCGCAAATGCCGACAATACCGATAATGGTACTTAGTATTGCTTCTTGACTGTATGGTACCCTTAATGCCGAAATCCCCCATGCGCTGTTGGCTCGGAGGATCACTTGCGGCTTCGTCGGCGGCTGCTGCGCAGTTGCCGCTGAAAGACTGGCCGTTGCCTCGGATTACTGGGGGGCACAATGTTTCGTGATATGTGCCATCCTCTAGCGGTCCTTTCGTATCAGATCGGCAGTCGATCAAACCCAGCATCCAAAGCTCTTGAACCCGAAACCACACCCTATAAACCCTAGACATGCAGTCTGGAACCAAGACCCAGGACCTGACCAAACCCGAAACAGCCAAAATGTACAAAAGGGAGACAAGTAATGATTGGATAGAGCCGAGTTACGCCGGCTTGCGCCTGCGCCGAGGACGGCTGTCCCAACCTCGATGGGCACTCTGACTCTTACAGCTTCACTTGTGTAAGTCGGGTTCCGGGTTTCAGGGTGCAGGATTGTAGAGTTGACCTGATAAAGTAAAAGCCAGAAAGTTGGAATATGGTTATCCTAAACCCTTTATGGTAAATTATAAGGTATCCTACCCTGAAACCATATTCCAACTTTCTGGAGTTCCCTGTACAGCTTGAACCGGAACATACCGGATTAATGCTTGCAGCGTGATTTTTGGTTGTCATCGCGTCATCCTTATCAGTCCTTGTCATGGTCGCTATCCCCAGCACATGCATCAGTATCTCTATTGCCGTCGCAGGAGCCAACACTTCCACACAAGCTACAAATAAGCTCTGTTCACGCTAGGCTTTGACCGGAACGTTACAGAGTCATACTAACTAACGGTTTTTCTTGCAACTTACAACGATAAGACCCCTTCTTGAATACTACCCTGAGCATCCCATATTGATTACTATCAATATCTTGATTTTGATGGTCCGCAGAATCAATATAAACTATTGGTTTTTTGGCATCGATAATCAATATGTACACAGCAATAAAACAATCAATATGCAAATCAATATGTAAATCAATATGTAAATCAGTATGCGAATCAATATGGACATATATGTATACATACCATTTGATATTGCTAATACGCATAAAAGAATACATCAAGGTATACATGAAAAATGTGTATATGTGTGTGTAAGGCTTTGGGTATAGAAGACTGTAATGTAGAGGTGTGGGGTATAAAGGTGTAGGCAGGCAGAACCACTCCAGATTCCATCATCTCTTCGAATCCGGCTGCGAAGCCTGTAACAGCAGAATAAGAACTGCCCTATCCTCAGGATCACAACTCAATACGTCAGGCAACTTTCGACTTTATCCTTCCTAGATGGGATGGTGCATCAGAAGAGCAAGCCTGAAGAAACAATACCTTTCAACCCTGGCAGCACTCCGGCTACAATTTGCGCCCAGAAGCTTGGTGTCCGTGATACCTGACAGGAGTTACGGATTCGGCGCTTGGATTGAATGTGCCAGCACCGGCCTTCATTGCACTGAAGTTTGGGCCTGGAACTGCAACGGGTACTAATGAAATACATCATTTGGGTACGGCCCCCAATATATATTAGGACCTAAACGGTAGCCCTATTATAGACTCTTACTGTATGGGGGCAGTACCTAATACATCATCTACTGGCATAGGCACTGCGCCGGCGTTGGAAAGATTGCCACAGCAGCAGACACGGCTAGTAGTCGCAACAGCATCAACAGGAGAAATAACAAGAGCAGCAGAAGGACCTCCACCAGCACCAGCACCGGCGCCAGCCCCACCACCATCACGAGCACAAACAACAAGAACAAGAAGAGCAACAAGAAGAGCAGCAGCAGCGGCACCGCCACCAGCAGCAGGCAATAGCTACATCAACAGCCTGCTGCAGCATGACTACCAGCAGCAGTTCGTGGTTTTAGCCGTAGCTTTCTGGTCGTGGTAGCTTGGCAGCAGCAGTAGCATTACCAGAAGGGGCACTGCAGCAGCGAAGTAGCACCAAAACACGTTGCAGCAAGAGGCAGCAATGATGAAGAAGTTTTTTGCAGCGACGAGAGAAAGAACCCTGAATCATAGAAGAATACTGAGCAAACATGAGGTAATCGCCGATTGTGACCCACATTAGAATGAAGCTTCGAAAAAGCTGCAGCCAAGTTGCTAGAAGGAGGCACCTCTTTGGGAGGCTCGGCCGCAGCCTCTGCAGTCCTGTGGAAGTGGGCGTGCAGGAAATCCTTTCGTTAGTCTTGGGTTTGCTTTCTAGTTGCGTGATTTCAGGCTACAATATGCGTGCCTCGAATGTCGGGAGCCACTCTCCGTTCTGAGTGGATAGTGGATACTGTGACGAATCAGACATTGCAACGTCGTCGATATGCCTGTGAAAATGACTTTAAGAAGATATATAGCCTTGAAACTTACCATTTCACTACATGGCTCCTGAATGTCTGGGTTCAGAGCCCATGTTTCTTTCAGATATTCCGGGCTTCCCAAGCCTCTAGCACTGTCTTGACTCTTGCCGGCAGTGGGTTCAGGGAACCAGAACGAAATCAGCCCTTCACCCCACCCCCTGCCCCCCTTCCCAAAACAAAGATCTCGAAGCGCCTAGAACCCAGTGCGAAAGCCTAACCGGAAAACCTGCAGAAAGGCGCGGTAACTTAGGTGCGTGTGTGGACCTATTTGCCTGTCTATCTATCTATCTATCTATCTGCTGTCTATTTAAGTCTAACTATGTATCTTTTCCTATGGGTCTGTTTACCTACCTACATACCTACCTACCTGTCTGTTGTTCTTTCTTTCTCTCCGCTGTCGCCAACGCTACGACATCAACTATGGGGGCCGGAATTCGGACCCAGGTCTAGAAAGCCTAAACCCTAAAACCCCAGTTTCCAAGACTCCACTATCCCTGAATAAAGGAACATACGTTAAATTCTAGTAAGACCCCTTGAGTTTAAGGAGTATTCCTTAATTAAGGAACATACCTCACATTATAGTAGGATCCCTTATAAATTTTTCAGGAGTATTCCTTAATTAAGGAACATACCTCAAATTATAGTAGGACCCCTTATATGATTTTCAGGAATATTCCTTAATTAAGGAACATACCTTAAATTATAGTAGGACCCCTTATATGATTTTCAGGAATATTCCTTCACTGAGGAACATACCTTAAATTATAGTAGGACCCCTTATATGATTTTCAGGAATATTCCTTAATTAAGGGATGTTGGAGTCCCTGGGTAAACCCTAAACCCTAAACCCTAAAACCCTAAGCCCTAAAACCCTAAAACCCTAAACCCTAAAACCCTAAAACCCTAAAACCCTAAAACCCTAAACCCTAAAACCCTAAACCAAAGAACTGAAGTCCTCGGGGCACCAGCATCCGGGAGCCTGCCGGAAGCGCCGGGCACCTCTGGCGTAGGAGATCTGGGAACCTTAGAGGGCTCCTTTTAGGGCTCCTTTCAGGGCTCCTATGAGGGATCTTTAAGGGCTCCTATGAGGGAACTTTAAGGGCTCCTTTTAGGGCTCCTTTAAGGGGGACCCCTACCCTAAAATGGGCTAAATAGTGGGTATATCATAGCTATATTCAGGGTATATACCTAGGGGTCCTTTTTAAGGGTCCCTCCTTTTACCCTTGGATTTAAAGGGCTCCTTTAAGGGCTCCTATGAAGGATCTCTAGGGTTTGGGGGAATCTCAAGACAGATAGACACATGCAGAGCGGAGGGCTTAGGAAGCCTGGGGGTTGACTTTAGGGGGGTGGTCTATGTTAATTCCGATTCTGCAAGGATCTGGAGGGGTTGTAGAGATGCGATCTGTGTAGAAGTACCCAATTTACATGTCCTAATACACTCCCATTCTCTGAAAATCTCAAGGGAAGCTATAGATAAAGCAAGCCCTCTTCTAGAGATACGGCTTGATGGTGAATACATGCACGGGGGCATTAGGGATATGCGAAAAACTCGACGAAAGCCTCCGAGCCCTGAACCCTAAACTCGATACTCTGTGGCAGTGAGAAAGTATGCATGAGATGGGCCTAAGTGGAAAGCAAGACATTCCGTGTAACCTGGTTTCGAATGTCTGCTTCGGCTTGAATAACCGCTGCATGGGTAATCGATTTAGATCAAACCCTCAATCCTAGTCAAAACAGGGCGAGGGCCCCGGAGGGAACACCAGTCTTGCCGGGAAGCCTTCTCACAAGCAACAAATCAAAGCCAGAACTCCCTAAGCCTAAAGTGTACCATCTCCTGTCAACTTCAATCATCTTCGAACCCTTTTTCACGAACTCGCAAAATAGATCTCAACTGCCATAAACCCTAAACCCTAGACCCTAAGCACCCTTAGCAGGCCTTGTCTGACTTCGTCTCCCGTTTCGCTTTGGGCGGAGACTTGTCGGCAGCAGTGGCCACCGGCCCTGCCCAAAACAGCACTTCCTGTTTTGCGGACGACCCCTAAAACCTTTCGTCCTTGAATCCCGAGCTTCAACTGCTCTAGTTGGACCAACATTCCCAAGCCTTAGACTCTAACCAGGCTGCATTTCCCTCCACCATGCGTCAAGATCTCAGAATGAAGGTTTAGGGTTGACTTGCAGAAACGTGACAGCTACTCGACCGTCTCAGTCTCTCTCTCTCTCTCTCTCTAGCGCCAAGGTGCTGTCTTTGGATCCGGAGGCCATGGCTTTGGCTTTAGCTCCCCGCGCCTCACGGGAGCTCAGCGGCTTCATGATCGCATCGCACAGGCTCCAACATACAAAATCCCTCTGTGTGTGTGTATACCTATATATGCAGAAAGAAGGAGAGAAAGAGATAGAGAGAGAGAGATGTATGTATGCATGTATGTATATATATATATATACACAGATAGATAGATAGAAAGATATAGACATACACATGCGTAGACAGACGCATAGAATCAGCTGGGCAAGTGAAGATGTTGCCTCTTCTACATGCGACATGTGCACTTCTAGACTTACTAGACACACCCAAGCCACCAAGGCAAAAGCACCGAACCAAGAGCTACTGGAACCAACCAGCCGAGTCAGTCTGAATGCATGCCTGCATGCATCCATATACCTCGGAGATCAGAGTAATAATCCAGGGGGGTCGGGGAGATTTATGAGTAGGAGCCGCGAGGAATGATGTTGGCCTTACTAGTTAGGCCCTTGCAATGTTAACCATTGGAGTTGAAAGGACTCTGCAGTTTCGAAAAGCCCATCATCCTTCGCATCGGGAAGCATGCCGGTTGAGGTAGGTTTATGGACACCGTTTTCAGGAAAGAGAAGGCTACTTCACTTGCAGGCCTTGCTTCCTTTATGGGTTTAGGGTTCAAGAAGAATATGGAAGAACCCTTAACCCTGACGAAACCCTTCCCCACAGTACAGAAGCCGCCTTTGAACCCTCACAAGGATCCTCAAAACACCCGACACAGGCCTTCGAAGACGCAGAGTTAGGTTCGACACCTGCGGCTGATGGGGAAAAACTGGAGGCTTACAGATGGGGATACAGGGTTCCGAGTGACACTTTTGTTGCAGGCTCTTTCTCACCCTAAACCCTAAACCCCTGCATAATTGGAAGGGTTTGGGGTTGCAAATAATATAGGACCGGCATGATTATGCTCTGAATGGCTTTGGCATAAGTGGCAGTGTTGTTATATAGGGACCGTTTGGTCTGGTCATCAAACATTGTGGTCCTCTATAGTAGCTTCAACATTGCCTCGGGGCTTTGGTGTGGTTGCATGGGTACAAGAACTCAGACCCTAATTAGGGCTTGGCGTTCCTGTGATTCGGGTTTGATAAGGGGGTTTCCGACAATAGGGGACCCTAAGGTAGTATCCTAAGTAGTAGGGTCCTTATTCTAGGGACCCCCAAATAAGGCACCCCTAATTTTCGGAAACTCCCATAAGTTTACCACTGAGAGTTTTGCGGCTTCGACTCGACAGCTTTCAGCTCGAGAGGTGTCTGCATGTGATGTTTTTTTTGTTTGAACGCCTTTTTCCTCCTTGCAGTTAAGGCATGTAATGTTTAGGGTTCAGGGTTTAGGGTTTAGGGTTTAGCGGTTAGCGGTTTAGGGTTTAGGGAGAGCAGTCAAACTGAGGTAGAGCCCCAAAACCCTAAACCCCTCCGAGACCCCCCAACTACCCTGCATTGTAGTCTCTTAATGAGAAATATTAGACACTTTAAATTAAAGGGTACTTGGGGGGGGTGCTGGCTCACACCTAACCCCCTAAACTCTAAACCCTAAACCCCCTAAACCCCCAAACCCCAAACCCCCAAGGCCCTAAACTCCAAAACCGGGCCTGACTCAATACTTCGAGCAGCGGACTCTGCACTCCGAGTGCTCACTGCCGGGTCTACCGGCCTGCAGGAGTCCAGGTAGGGGTTTATTTAGGGGCTTACGTGTTTAGGATTTTAGGGGTTTAGGGTTCATCGTCGAGTTGATCAAGGATGCTCCCAGAGATTTCCATATCCCTTGATTAGGGAATATATACCTTAAATCGTCGCAGGGATCCTACTATAGTTTAAGGTCTATTCCTTAATTAAGGGATATTGGAGTCTCTGACTTCTTCAAGGTTTGGGATTAGGGTTTATAGGGCTAAGTGTTGAAGGCAAGGGTTAGGGTGCCAGGATGCCTCAGTAATGGAGCTTGGCTGCAACTGAGCCTAGCGAATTACACTCGGTTTGTCTAGCCGCTAGCCTGTTCCAGCGGGTCGAGGTTTTCGTATTGTATGGTTTTCAGTCTTGCTTCGGAGCTTGGTGCGACATAGAGGGTTTGTAGGGGTGTTGTCGCGGCTCTAATAGGTTTGACACGCCTCATGGGACCGGCCTTGGCGATCCCGGTGTGCAGAATACAGGACTCTCACATCCGCAATAGCAGAAGAAATAGTGGTGGGCACCGGTAGTGGTCGTCGTGGGGCAGCAGGAGCCAGCTTCATCACAACCAGCACGAGTAGTTAGTCAGCACGTAGGAGCGCTACTGGCGATGCTGCTACTAGCAGTAGTGGCAAAACCCGGAAGCACATGGAGCCGGTGTCGCGCAGATGCTCAGTAGCAGGAGCAGTCCATGCAAAGTGCAGCGGAAGCCTCTCGCGGCTGGCACCGGAACGGGCCTTGAGAAGCAAGCTAATCCCACGATTTCAGGAGGCTTGAAGAATCGGCTTGTGAATGTTAAGCATGGGGCTTTACGATGTGCGTGAAGGTGGTTGTGATATGTGTTCCAGCAGAGTCTGACAGGATACCGAATCACTTAACTACAAAATTATTCGAGAGCTTGTTCGGGATATTCTTCCCTCTCCGGTGACGGAACGTCCTGGTTCTCGGGACATTCGATAATCATCCGAGCGAGTTTGTGCGAAGTAGTGGCCGGTGTCCACAAACTCGAGCCCGACAACATCTACGATGCAACCGTCCGGTATCCGCCACGATGTTGGCACCATGGCTATTCTAGAGCCCTGTATATAGGCTTTTCAGCATCAATGTCAGCACCAATGGAGCAACAGATACGAATCCCACACACCATAAACCATTGAATCTTCAATGGTCGACAAACGCACTGAGGCGGGGACCGACGGAGGATCTGCTGCGGCCTTGCTTTTCGGCCTCACAGCTCAAGCGCAGCAAGATTTCTGGGCTTGCTTGCGCGGGTCAGGTGCGGGGGAAGAGGGCAGTTCGGCTTCAGAGGCAGGGATGGACCACTTCTTCGAAAAGCCCAAAGTTGGTATTGCAGGGGCGTGAGTAATTATAACAGGCTTTTGGGGCCTGTTAGGCTATAACTATAATAAGGAATTTCAGAATACAATTGGTAATTATTAAGGCCCCATATAACCATGTATAAACTTTCGGTTTAGGGTTTGGGATCTGAGCATGAAAGCTTGGGGAACTTTGCGGCACTTCCGCAGCCATCTTTGGTTCTCTACTTGCCAGTCAGCCCGAACCATGCAACATGACCAATCCAGAGTCCTGTCCTGAGCAAAACGATACGATTTGCAATGTAGCTTCTAAAGGGGCCCAAATAATTACCTGTACTATTTTGGGGGTTCCTTATTATAGTATAGTATAATGTGCCCCCAAAACCCTATTCTAATTATTAAGGCCCCTATATTAGAAGGAAAGACGCACTGTAGCCTGAACCCAATCCAACCCAGTCCAGACCTCTCTGGCCAACAAGAATCTAAAGACGACACCTCTCAGGCATCCAACAACAAAGCCAGAAACCCTAAACCCAATAAGCCCTAAAAGCTAAACTCCAAGCCCCAAGCCCTGTGCCTTCAACCCTAAACCCCTAATCCAGAAACCCCCTGCGCCTTCAACCCTAAACCCCTACAGAAAGGGCTACCATGGGGCCTGCGTTTGGGACACATCACGTTTCGCGGTTTCGCAGCGATTTGTTTCACATCATCTTGCTATCCTATGCTTGTATAAACAGTTCTGGGTTATTTACTGTATTGTTCGTACTTGTAGACATTTATGTCGCTTATCAATAATGTTGTTGTTTATAAGCAGGGCCTGTGTTTATAAACAGTGTCTGTGTTTATAAGCATGGCTTGTGTTTATAACCAGGGCTGGCGTTTACAAACTAAGATGAAAGAGGGGGGGGGGGGGGAAAAATTATGAAAAGGTTGGTTGTAGGGCTCTGCCCCCCGACCCTACATAGGTCCCTATGTCGTTTTATCAACATAGCTCACTTTAATAATATTTCGTTTTGTTGTCATCTTAATCAATTTTTTGTATTAATTTTGGCAAATTTTTTAACATATTTTATACAGAATTACCTTATGCATTTTCACATTAACGCTCCTCAAACGTTTTTACACAAATTTTCACAAATTTTTAACAATTTCTCAAAAAATCCCAGCCCCAGTCATCTCATTCATTTTAACAAAATTTAAAATCAGTTTTAGGCACCGCTAACGTTATAATTTTCTAGGTCTTTTTTCCTTGTAGTAGTTTTTTCATGTTTTTTGTTTCGGCATCTGTTTCATTCCTTTAAATTTAATCTCCTACTTCGTTTTTGTAATTACTCCTCTGTTTCATTCTCATTTTTCAAAAATTTTTTAAAATATTTATCAAAAAATATCGTCACCTTATTCAGGTTTTTTCGCCTCTCATTTGTATTCAGCTTCTGTCATGGTTTATGTATAATATTCTATATAATATTATGTCTACATTTATAATAATATTTTATATCAATATTATTATGAATGCATAATTGTATACAAGTTTGCTAGACCCTTAGGTTCTGTTTCTTTAAGATGTTTTTGATGCTTTTTAGTTTGTATATGTCTTGACAAACAATATTTAGTAACTTGGCAGTTAAAATTAGAACAATAAACCTTTTCCTTCTGCTTGCTCAAAATATTGTCTTTATTATTTTGATAGTATTTTTTGTTCCTTTCATTGATTTCTTCCTTGTTGCATTCTCTGTATTGTTTACTCTGTAGAACAATTTGTTCACGATTCTCTTGTTTATATTTTATTGTCCTTGCTATTTCTTTATCACGGTTATTATGGTAATATTCTTTTGCTTTCTGTCTCAATTGTTCCCTGTTCTTCTCTCTATATATGGCTTTCTCTTCTAAACATTCATTACATAACTTTCGCTCTGGTTTAAAATGTTCTTCTCCTTTTTCCTTTTTGCATTTAGAACAAATTTGATTAGATGGTTTAATGTCAGAATTTTCCATATAATATTATGGGGCTATTTCTTTAAATGTTTTTGCGTTTACTTATCTTAAACAGGCTACCGAACATATCACCGATATTTAAAAAACTTCTTAAAGTGTCACCGATATTCTCCCGAAATATCACCGATATTTTTCTTAAAACCGATATTCTCCCAAAATATCACCGATATTCTCCCGAAATATCACCGATATTCTCCCGAAATATCACCGATATTCTCCCGAAATATCACCGATATTCTCCCGAAATATCACCGATATTCTCCCGAAATATCACCGATATTCTCCCAAAATATCACCGATATTCTCCCGAAATATCACCGATATTCTCCCGAAATATCACCGATATTTTAAGACCTTCCCGAAATATCCCCGATATTCTCCCGAAATATCACCGATATTTTAGAACCTTCTTGAAATATCACCGATAGGCTCCTGAACATATCATCGATAGAATCTTGAACATATCAGTTAAGTAGCTTTTACACTAATATAATATTCAACTTAATTTTAAGGCGATGCCCTCCAGCCCAGCCGGCACCCCCTAGGCTTAAAGGGTAGCCACCTTAAAGGGTATGGAGAGCCCTAGCCCAGAACAGAAAATATACTTAAAGACATTTTGCCATTATAATAATATAATGTTTTTATCAACATTAGAACAAGAAGAAATTATTAATAAATTCTTAAATGTTATTGAAATGAAAACAGTTATTAATCATAAAGTTGGTATATGTAAAAACTGTAAGTTTAATCAACAGAACTTGAGCTTATATAAATTAAATATACCTAGTAATATTGTTAAAGATATTTGTAAATATAATTATAAAGAATGTGAAGTATGTAAAACTTTAAAAGAGTTTAAAGAAAATGTTTATGATTACAGTATGGAAGATTTTGAAAATGTGGTTAAAGCAGTTGAAGATAAACAACAATATAGTTTAAACAATTACACAGAACATAAAATAGATAATCAAATATATTATTATATTAAACTAAATCCATTTCCTACATTTGATGAGACATTACGTTATACCAAAAGTGTAATACCAGAATGCAAATTTTATAATATTGATTTCTATAATGAGGTTAAATTATTATATTATAATTCATTTAATGTTGATAAAAAAGTAAAAGAATTTTACAGCAAACAACGAAATAAATTTATAAATGATTATTATGAAAATGTAGATAAAAATAATGATACAAGGAGTAAATTTATTAATTATATAAAAAGTCAAATAGATAAAGTTGAAAGTGCAATTAAAGAGATTTTATCATACATAGACAATAATGAAAAATTTAGTAAACTAAAATTTAAATTGTATTCAAATGAAGCTTTTAAATTTATTAATATGCGAATAGGAGAAAATGATTTTGACGATGATTACACATTTGAACGTTTTATAGATGCTAAATATCCTTATATACCTAAAGAGCAATATATGAAAAAATACGAAAAACAAAAACAATTACGAAAGGAAATGGAAAAAGATTTTATGAATAGAGTAGATGACTTTTTAACATAAGACAATAACTATCATATTATATTATAATATGAATGTTAACCGCCAGCCCAGCCGGCACCCCCTAGGCTTAAAGGGTAGCCACCTTAAAGGGTATGGAGAGCCCCAGCCCCACCACGGGTATAAAAAACTACTTAAAAGAAAATCTATATTATAATAATATGGATATTAATAGACAAAAATCTGTAATGAAATATGTTTTAAATAGTGATGTAGGTAAAATTAAAACAAATAAAGACGGTAAACAATTAAAAAAAGTTATTATAGATGATAAAGAATACCCATATAATCCATCAAAACCTTTTCCAGGAACACTCATAAATAAACTAGAACAAGTAGAAAAAACACAAGGTTACAAACGTTTTAATATACTTGATAAAGCATCTAAGGGAATAGCCGTAAGAAAAGCTTTAAAACGATATTCTATATCAACATTCGGCACAAGAACTAACGTATTTACAGCTTTAAAAGCTTATGCTAACACATATGCCATAACAAACATTCAAAAATTAGGATATGCAGGATTAACTCACATATATTATCAAAAACCTAGATTAAGAGAATATTTAAACAAAAACAAAAGTATGAAACTATTAGTTGATGTATCCGTTCAGTTTAAGCATTTAGAAGATGAAGATAAGGATTTTGTTGCTAGTATTCGTTCACGACGATATAATATATTAAACGAAGAAGACTTAAACAATGCAATAAATAATATGGCATCAGATATAGAAATAAGCGTAGAAAATAAGAATTTTTATAGGTCTGATTTAAAGCTTCATAAAATAAACAAAATAACATTTCATTATGATAAATATGACCCGACAAGAGCGGGTAAATTTATTGAATTACCTAGATGGATTTCTTTAAAGAAGGCTTGTATTAACATTCAAAACAATGATGAATTTTGTTTCAAATATTGTGTTTTATGTAAATTTTTTGAAGTATATAAAAAAGACCATCCATGTAGAATATGTAAATATAAACCTTTTGAAAATGATAGTATAATTAAATGGGAAGGTGTTAATTTTCCAGCTTCAAATGAGGATATTGATTATTTTGAACAAATAAATAAACAGAAAATTTCAATAAATGTTTATATAGTAGATAATCAAAAAATACGAGTAGATAGAGTTACAAAAATAACCGAACCTATATGTCATGTTAACCTTCTTCGTCTTGATGATGATGAGGGAAGCCATTATGTTTTTATTAAAGACTATTCTAGACTTTTAGGAGGACAAACAAATAAAAAAACAAATAAACAATTTTATTGTCATTATTGTCAAAAAGGATTTACGAAAGAAAACTTATTGCATACTCATCTTACTAAAGGTTGTATGGCTAACGAGGTTCAAAAAACAGAGATGCCCGAAAATAATGAAAAAATGTTCTT